GGCAGGACTCGCGTGCGGAGCAAAAGCTGCCTTAATGAGTCTTCGTGGAAGGTGGAAAAGAATCAAGGACGATCGTACCTTCGATCGTACTGACAACTTCGACCGTCCGAGCGTTCTTTCTCGTCGCTCGGAGTGGAAAAATCTTGAAACTTCTTCTTCGACGAGATAATACTCTTTCCAAAACGGTTTTGAAACCAACAAGTGTCCAAATTTCACGTTATTGCAATTTGACTGTGGATCCCGACCTCCATTTGTTCCCTAGTAAAGTTTTGGCAAATCTCTCGAGAAACAGCGCGTCTCCTCTTCGACGATAAATTTCGTGGCCAGAAGTGAACGCGGGAAGTTCTCGGGACGACTTTCAAATTACCATTGTCGCTCGTTCACGATGGGATTACTTAACAAATAAGGAAAAATGAAAAAGCTCAGGTACTCAAAATTCAGTTGAGGTGAGTATTTTGCATGAAGTGTCGGAAGGACCATTGCGATTTCTAATCCCGTGGAAAAAAAACCGTCGAAACAGTCGCGTAATAGCGGCTTGTCTTGAGCTTTTACAGACACGTTTATGTCTGGTGTCAAGCACGTTTCATGAATTTCTCCACGACCGCGAGTTTCGCTAGAATTTCACGTTTGAAGAATACTTTAAACACGACCACGAGTATTACAGTCATAATCTTTTCTTTTCTCTATGTTCTTGACGAGTTTCGTTTCCACTTTTGAAAGTACGCTAAGATGAAAACTTGTACCGAATATCTACTGTCTAGAACGGCTCGGCATACGATCTTTTGCTTTCTACTTCCTAAATTATTTCCTCCTGTTAAATGAAACTCAATAATGCCCTATTGTATAAATTCCGTTTTGTTGTCTAAACTTCTAAATATGTACTAACATTTATTTTGTACTTTAAATCACATTGTTATACAATTACGATGGGAGACAAAAGATTAACTTATAGTTATAAAGAGCTATAAACATTTACAAAGTACTTCTGATTTGTGAACGATTAATTCATCATTCACTGCAAAGAACCATAGCAAAAATTAAATATGTATATCATCAAATATACATATTCCTTTAATTATAGTAATCATGCAATCTTTAATATATCTGGAATAACGAAATGCTTGATATGCAAAAACTATTGAATTATGTGCAATAAAATTGATGAAGTCAATTTTTCAACTATTTTACAATAAAACACTAAACAGTTCTTCTACTGTAACGTAATGCTAAGCGATGTCCTGTGCAACATAATTTTTCGTATACGAATCGTGTTTCCTAGAAGTATTTTATTTTTTTGCGACAGACTGAGAAAAATGACGCGCTTTTCGAGAAAACCACGACAATGCTTGAATGTATGTACCTTTTTTACCGCGAGTCGTTACTTCTGCAGAGAGACTTTCATTCCGCACGAATACACATGTATTTTACAAGTGTGTGGGTTTTCTAAAATTCACTGTGTCGCGATCGTTCTGTTCAGTTATTGATATTTCGTTTCAATCCGTCTCACAAAATCGGCCTACTTTCCCGGCCTGTGTATTCGTCAAAAGCGGAGAGCGAGAGAGGATCTTTCACTGTTTAGAACCTTGAGACAGGAATTCACAGATTCTGAACTCCGTTTTAATTCCCACAGCAATTTTTGTCACTGAGTACTACTTTGCAGTTTTTCCATTACGAGGATTCGTATTTTAAGTCTTCGCAACGCGAAAATCGAGATAGAGAAAAATGGGTGAAGGGGATGTGAAAAAGTAGTAGCAACTCAAGATTCAGCGTGCAGTGTTGGCATGGAAAAATGATATGTTCACCGTGAACGAACTTCTTTATCGACGATTCAATTTCGTAGAAAATTGATACGATACATCAATTTTATTGAAAAATAATACTATTAGAACTCGGTAAAAGTGTACTGCGAAATGGAATCTTAGGCAGAAACGATTCGTCGTCAGTCCCTTTGCTCTCTTTCGAGCCTAAATACATACCTTAAGAATTCAATTTATCTCGCTCCACACTGCTTCTCCTTCCTACCTCTCTCTAGCCTTTCACAAATTTGCAGAGCCTCACAAAAAAGTAATATTAAACTGGATGACGCGCGCACAGTGCAACGAAAAATCGACGGGTCGAAAATATACTGTCGCGAGAATTAGAATGCATTCGGGATAAAAATGAGGCAAGGTTTCAAGAGATGCTTTCATATCTGTGCAAATCTGAATCTGTGTGCAAATAGAGACCCTTTTTCGTTACCCTCGAACGAACATAAAAAGAAGATTGAAATAGGATGAATGCGATGGCTTGTCTGCTGTTTTCTATATCTCTCTCATCAATGAAATTCACGCTAAAAAACAAATTTAAACAGCTTAAACATGCGACGAAATCTGCAAAAGGAAAAAGGAAAAATTTGTTCAAATCGTTCCACGAAAATATTCCTTAGAAAAATCACGAAGAGATTCACCCATTAATGAAGTGGTTTTACTGTTCTTTCATGCTTGTTTGAGGGCACAATAAGTCAAGATGCAAATCCCTCTCTCTGCAACGGATCAACTCGACTCCAATTTCCAACTCTGATGTTTAATTAATACGGTTTGTATTTGTCACGATAATGATAAACCATTTAGCGAATTGCAGTTTCGACGTCGATCTAAAGCGACCATTACAGCAAACGTCCATTATTTTGGACGACCTCTAAACCCGCTTGATCATCCCATAGTGAATTTAAGTTTGATTACTGTCTAAGGTACAACACTCCGTTATATTGATGTTGTATAAGTTACAAGCTAAGAGATAAATTCTCAGTAATGTAATTCGATAACGATTAGTAAAATTTTTTTATTAAAATCCAGTTAATGAAGCAGCAATAAATGTTCCGACTGATCGTGAGTCGTAGACCGCATATGGACCGATACACATACGTGAGATGGGTGCTTCGCAGCCGAAGCCAGGTCCAGGGGTTTGTCTTTGTCGCCGAGGCAATCGATAGAGCTTAATTGACTCGAACATGAGAGAGCATTCGTACTATCGTTCGCCGTGTTACATCGACTGACTTCGGGCTCGAGGTTGAACCAGGTCACGGTTTCGACCAGATACCGATTCGAGGGCCGTTACCCACGAGGTTTTGAGAAAAACCCGTGCTGCACGGGTACCGCTGTTTTCATATGTAAAAGACGAACTTAAAAAAATGCAAAGGGTTATATCGTACGCAAAAACTAAAGGATTTTCTTTAAGGAAAACATTCAAAAAGCTCTATATAATTCATCGTTTCTTATGATCTACAAGTTTCATTGAAGAATAGATCGATCCTTTCATATGTTTATTTTTCCATTTTACTTACTTTTTATTTTTTCTATTTTTAGGAGAGGTTGCGTAACAACGAGAAGACGCAGTGTCACGTTAAAAGTGTTACATAAAAGGTAGGCTAGATGATTGACTGTACAGGGGGGCTGCGAGATAAATGAATTGACTGTTGGCGAGTGTCCCGCGAATTCAAACCGTCGAATATGTTCACCGGACTCCTATTATATATGTTCAAAGTGACAGAATAAAACCTTCAATTACCGCACCGATTAATGATCGTCGCTACTGGACAACAGCGAGGATTTTCCAAACGTAAAAAATGGTTGTTCCGTTTCAAACATTTACCACGCAATGGTATTGCAGTTTGAACCAAATAAATGCTGATTAATCATCTCGTCAAAAAAGATCTCCCAGTAATCGAACAAACGTGACACGATTCGTCCCTGCAATGAAAAGAGAGTACGGAGTTTTTACATCATATTGTAATGGTTATTCTGAAGCGTTCCTTTGTCTCGCATGACAGATATTAATGGGATAAGAAGAAATAATGAGAACCAAATTAATAATATGGTCTTTTATCCACAGTGTGACAGAATGGAATGTAAAGAATATTTTCTGTCTGAAACAATTGTGATATTACTACTTTAGATAATTGAATCAATTTCTTCATAATTATATAATTTCACTGTTCGAATAATTGATACCGCTACGTTGAACTTTCTTTTGTCCATTTTACAGACATTCGAGGTATGACATCGCATGACGAGACCGTTTGGTATATTTTAATTGTAAATAACTAGGCTGCAATTAGGAATTGCGGGATTAAAATTATTCGGATTCCAACGAGAACGCGAAAGCAATGGAATCGCGATACAAACTGCGACTAATACTACCACGTTCTTTTCTTTTACGATGTAAGAAACGGTGAAGTGGAAACCTTTTTACGAGAGGACGTAGGCAATGCGTGGGTCACGCAATTTGTGACGTTTCCTGTCGGATAGAATGGAGAGTTACGAAGACGTTCACCATGTTTTATGAGCGCGAGAGGCACTCGGTGACCGGTAATAAATTATGCAATCTATCAGGCCCCGTTATTCGCGTAGCGAAAGCGAAACACGCCGGAACATCGTATTTCCTGCACCGGAAAACCGCTTTAAAGACCGAAGGGCAAGCGCTCGTCGCGCATATCGCGAAAACCGTCTGCTATGAAAACAAATCCTTCGTATGATTTATAAATGTTTACTTAAAATTATATAACTATAATTTTAACTCGTTTTCACTTTATATGCTAATGTAGATCATAAGAACTACATAATGTACTGTAATTAATGAGTATGATATATGAGTATTTGATTATAAGTATTCACTTTAAGAAAAAATGTTACATCTTTATATTGTAATATAATCGCCAATGGCATCACGACTTTAAATAAATAAATTAAAGAAAGATTCTACATACTGTATTGCTTTAAACTTGATTTCAGGATATTAGTTTTTTTTTCTTGAAAAAGGTGTGCAAGTCTACAGAATCGTAATGATGTACTTTGAATACATGAATGACGAGGTCGGCATTGAATGTCGAGAAGCAATCGATCCGTTTTCACATAGAAGACGGAAGATAGTGGAAGATGGGTAACCGTTTTTTATAAAGTATGATCGACAGTTTAATGAAGTCATCCAGATTTTTGCAGATAACTGCTGACTATAATACTCACCGTTACTGTCAATCCGACGTCACGCTTCCAATCGTCGTCCGATCCACTCGAGTCTTTGTCTGTTCGAGCCACGTCGAACTGTTCGAGCAGCCTGCTGCACGTCACATTTTTGGTCGTCCTGTTTCCGGTAATCGGTTTTCGATCGGTCAATTTTGACGGCTGGTCATCAATTCCTCTACCGTAGATTATACAACCTGAAGCAGAAAAATATAATTAAGAAAACAATGTTAGTCTCCATTAATAACCCTCGGTATTAACGATTCAAATTCCGTCGCAAAGATCCGCAATACACTTTTTAATAGAATAAATTCAGCGCATTCTGTCCAAATATAGAATGCCAATGAAATAACAGGTTCTAAATAAAAACATTTTGAAATAGTTAAATCGAAATTGCCTCCGGAGGATATAACAGCTCGTGACGTCCTATTGGATTTATGGGTTCGGTCAGATAAATAAAACAATGCAAGAAAAAATTGCAGGTTCGATGAAGCCATAAATGATTCACGGTGATTTATTTTTGATCGACAGCTGTTCGAGATAAATGGTGAATTTTCAATTCAATATTTAACCACTATGCGAATCTGTATCACACTGCCAAAATTGAAACGTGTCAGAGGAATTTGACCAGACGTCACAGGTAGAGGTAGAACGATCGGTTAATCAATAAAGATTGTTTAGGGATTCATGAATTCTTCTTGCACTTGGTCAATCCCGCTTACTCATCAACTGACTGACACCCACTCTGAATGCCACTTGATTGCCAAGTACACTCTGATTGTTCCTAACTCTGATTGCTAATCGAATCCCCGAATGCTGATTTCGACAGTAAACTTCGGTTCTCATCGATAAACATCTGTCTTGCTCTACCGAATCCATTATGTTACTTAATTTTAGATAAGACTCCTTAAAGAATTTCCAAATATAAGTTCAGACTGTCATACATCAGATATGTCTGCGACTTATCTAATTCAATAATTGGTGAATGAATAACATTTGTCGTCCTTTTGTTAAACCGTCAAAGGGTTAAAGTAAGTTTCACGTCTACTATTATCGGCGTCTCGTTTCATCTTGACCCCCGGATGTCTGATATCCAAGTTTACCGATTTCTGGTCGAAATTAACCTGAACCCAGTCGGCGGCTTGGAAATGGTCTGTTTCTACGCCAGCCATTCGGAAATTTTCGTTGCAGACTCTCGGTCTCGATTCGATACTCGTAGCCGGGTCGTGTCGAGCGAAAATTTAATTCAGGTTCTTAACCCATTTCTGGAAGAATGCGCACCGAGAAAGATTTTCGAGGCGAACGTCGATATTCCTATCAAACCGAAACATGCGTCGAGAGAATCCTGAGACAAAGTCCTCCAAAATTAAGTTCAAATTGCCGCGGAATCATTCTATCTGTTCATCAGTTTCAAAACCATACGATACGGAAGTATAATTGACAATAAAAATGTTGACCTCAAGAAGCTTAATATACTATTTCAATTCCTCGACGAAATGTAATCGTTATGTAAATGCATTTAATAGGTTTGTTTCGACCTAGTAGAATGTCTAATTATTTTCACGTTTTCGCGGTTGTTAAAAGCCATTCAAGTAGCTCGAGATACGGAACTCGAATAGTACGTGAGACAACTTTGTACTTACTTGTCTTGAGAACAACTACACAGAAGGAAGATCCGATGTTAACTTCGTAACGAAGCGAAATGTTTTTAAATGGAGAATTGATCTCTCTCGTATTTAACTGAAGATTACATGAAAAGTGCATATACAGTTAACAATTACTACGATTAACATAATTTGTAATGCACAGAAAACCTTAATTATGTGGGAGATTAAATTGCTGTTAATTTACAATTCGTTGTCAGTTCAATAAAGAAAGCAAGAAATGAAAATAGTATAAAATATTTTATTCATATCTTATTTGACCTAATTACGAGAGAATGATTGTGGAACACAGACAAAGTAAATTTTGCAGAAGCGAATAGAAATGTGCAAGAATGCTGTTATTCGTTTCGATAGTGTTCGATTCGTAGAATACGCCACTATTTCGCTCACGTACACTCGTAAACTTGGAAACAACAATCTGTTTACAATATCCGAAAAATGCCAAAAGCACGTACGCAGGCATCAGTGCGATCGACGCATCGAATACGTATGCACAGACTTTTTATTCGATACAGTAAATTTTGTTTAAAATCTGCATTTCAACCCTTTAGCCATTGATAACTTCGATTTAATCGAGCGATGCAAAGTGTTTAATCGAGAGAATTGCGTTAATGAACGGCCCAATGTTTTCCGACGAACTCTATAACCCGTAGGTATTTGCCCTTTCGCCTCTTTTATTACCTCATAATTTCTGTCTAGCCCGATCAGTGCAAAGGTTTTCCTTATTATAAATTATTAACACGTGTTGTGTTTCGTGATCAATATACAAATAATTTTCCATACAAATTCAATAATTAACTCGATTCTCGTTTTGGTCATGAAACAGCTATTACATTGTTATTATGTCATTTCTATATCAGTATGTGTCAGTTCAGCCACACCGTTCGATATGCATTAATGAATCAGTTTCGTATAATCATTACCAACAATTTACCAAAAAATTGAAAACACTTTCTTTGGTCAATCGAATACAACCTGGTTTTTAGTATCCAGTAATGAGACGTAAATGGTTTGGAATGCATATTAATTAACAAGTTTCGCGTAATTGTAATCGATAATGCTACAGGAACCCGAACAGGAAATAAAAACGTCTTGCTGGAACTTATTTACGACGTGCACGTGTACACGCTAGGACGAAGAATAAAACATCCGAGGGTACACGCCAGTTAACCTTGCGAACTCACGCGACTCGACGATTCGTTTTGAACCGGTAGACGTTTTACAACGATTCAATCGGACGTTCGCCAGTTCCATTGATATATACTCGACTGTAAAAACTGTGTGAGTAGAGAGTTAGCCACGAAAACCGATGGAAAACCGCTGAGCCCGTACGGGAAAAACAATCGTCGAAGAACTGAATTTACGGTACCGGGATAATGGTTACAGAAACTCCAGATTTCTCCTGTTCCTCGACGTCATTGACTTCACCGTGTTCTACACGGGTATTTAAATTGTATCAGATATACGTATCATTTCATTATTTTATGAAAATTATTATTAAAATAGTAGAGAAGCTAAGAGAAGTTAAAATGATGAAAGAGTTCTTTAAAGAAAGTACACCCGTGTCCATAAGTCATTGTATACTTAACAAAAAGCATAGTTGAATAAGGTATAAAAACAGTACCTCTAAGTTAAATTTTCTTAGAAATCCACGGTCGAGAAATTTATTTTCATATTTTAGCAATTTGGAATTGGTTCATTCAAGACTGTGTAAATGAATAAAAATTGAATACGGTAAGAATAATACTACTTTATATAACCATTTTGTTACATTCTTATTAAAATTGTAATGACTATAAAAATTAAGTTATAGTAGACTTGTGGAAAATACATCGATGATTTCTTCCTAAAAACTGCGTTGTAATGTACGAGCAGGAGTGTATTTCAGCTTTGAATGGGTTAACTTTCCACTTCCTTTGACTCCATTAACCCTTACATTCTGATCGTTTCACGCTAACAAACGGCATGTCGTGGCAAAGCTTTATTCACGGATCATAACGCAATCTGAGTTCGTCTTCTGGCTCGAAGAAAATTTTCCGTCTCGATTCGATTCCACCTTGCTGGAGCTTTATTACCACTCGGTACGAGGAACAAGCCACTTCTCCCTCGGCGGATATTGAATTCAACTTCTTCAGTCAAATAATATAAAACCATATTCTTCCATTATCTCCGTACTTTCTTTATGAAAGGTCCGTTAAGGAAATGTTCCACGCGTAAGCAAAGGGAAAGAGAAGTAGAAGACACGTTCGTTCAAGGCTACTGAACGTTTTCCGACCACGACAGATCAAAGCCTCTTCAGTACGCAAGTTTTTCAAATCCTCTTTGGGAGGCGGCGTCATTCTGGCCAGGTAATGCATCGCGGCCGTACGTAAGACGTTTCCACTACATATTTGGAAATTCTCTTTGCTGAACGAAATGTCACTATCGCGCAGTTGAGAACAACGCGATGACCTGTTCAGAAACCACGAATCTCTCCTAACGTTTTACTTTTTGAACGTCGCTTCTTGACTCGAACTTCGTCAATCGAATATCATAAATTAAAATTCAAAACCAAGTCGCATCGCGAACAAAGAATTTCGGGAGTAGATATAAGCAATCACTATAAAGTCGAACATCGAAAATGTGAATAAAATTATTAAGGTACGGTAGAAATTCCAAGATATCAAGAAAGAATCATATTCGTTTCGAAGAAGTGGCTCGAACTCAACTTTTCATCTACGCGAAATCTCTGTTGAGTGGATTACGTTCGCAAGTGTAAACGCTTTCATTGGCGACAAGGAAGTCAGAGAAACGCTGGCAGCAACACGATAAAGCTATTACGCGACGCGACCTTTACAGGCCGTCCTACGATCCATTTAAACCTCGCTTCATATTTGTCGCGGGATCACGACCGCTTGCTCGCTCGTCGCAAAACGCATCCACCCGTCCTCTCCGTATTTCAATGCTGCCTCGTGACGAGCTCCCGTCGGTAGGCACGAATTAATACGCTGGAAACCAAGGGGCGTCCGGGTGAACGACCCACCCAAACACCAAAATCCAAATATTCGAAACACGAATGCGATTCGCGTACGTAAATGTCTTAGTCCTTTCAACACAACTGAATGCATTAATATCCCACTGTTCAATAGTTCAGTTCTTGTTAGGTACATTTATATTTTATTGCAATTCCAATACTGTTCGGAATTTTGTATCATAAAATTCAATGCGATTGGATGTACAAATATATTGAGGTGTACAAGTAGCCGAAAGTGTCAAAAATCTCGGTTTTCTGAACTGGTCGAAAACAAATTGGGTCGAATCGGGTGAGTCCCGAATGTATTTCAAGGGTCAAAAATCTCGGGATTTCTAAGAATTCCGAGGATCCGAACTAAATTTTAGAATTGGTTTTGTTTAGTATGATGACGAATTCTACCTTTTTATGACTATTATGAATTTCATAATATAAGTAATGAAAAATAGAAATACACATAACGTACGTAAACTCGAATTATAGGAAAGTTCCATTTTACACTATAATAATCATCAAGGAGAAT